ACGGGTAGTGACAACAAAACAACGGGGCAATCAAACTACATGGGAAGTGACAACAAAACCACAGGGCAATCAAACTACACGGGAAGTGACAACAAAACCACAGAGCAATCAAACTACACGGGTAGTGATAACAAAACCACAAGGCAATCAAACTACACGGGAAGTGACAACAAAACCAAAGGGCAATCAAACTACACGGGAAGTGACAACAAAACCACAGGGCAATCAAACTACACGGGTAGTGACAACAAAACCACAGGGCAATCAAACTTTACGGGTAGTGACAACAAAACCATAGGGCAATCAAACTACACGGGTAGTGACAACAAAACCACAGGGCAATCAAACTACACGGATACTGACAACAAAACCTGACAACAAAACCACAGGGCAATCAAACTACACGGGTAGTGACAACAAAACCACAGGGCAATCTAATGAGCAACAGCGAGATGTCAGTGTGTTAGACCAACAGCTGTTGTCAGATTAATTTTGCAGATTTATACAGTATCTTAGCAATTTCATTTACTTATTCCTCCTGCCCTCACCTATTTGATAAATATATGCATTATTCCTGCACACCGAAAGAGGCGACTAAGTGTTAACCCCCTGCTGTGACTGTTAAATCCACTGCAGCATTGAGAGGCGACTAATGTGGGAAGTCCGTAGTAATTTGAGATTTTTCACATTTACCGGGCCTGATTCCCACGTGCACATGTTCCACATTTTTGATATCTTGTCCCTTCTTTCTGATGCTTATCTCTCGTTGACTCACTTTATGTGATGGTGCATCTTGCGCAAGAATAGGTCCTCTACATATATTTAGTAGTTAAAGAGTTTTCTAGAGGGATTCTTCTCCGATTTTGGTTATCATTTGGCGGGTTGCCGTTGTGTTTCATTGGGCGAGTCATCTTAGTGCACTTTCAATATAAAGCAGAGCCAGCGAGCGTTCTGATATTTAGACTATCAGCGTTCCTTGTCCGCAATGCTCTCAGCTTAATTGCTGCCTTCGGCTGTCTTTAGCCGAGGGGACTATTGATTTTATATAATAGCTATATTTTCAATTATAGTATATCAGATCTATCTTCTTGTAATATGATGTATATGTACATGTAACTGTTCTGTTTCACTGTGTAGATAAAGGAGGGGATCGCTCCGAAAATTTGACAACCTAAACTTGTCCACACTGTTGGAATTACTTCTTTGCCCCATAAATATATATATATATATATATGGCTTACTCCAACACTCCCTAAACAACCATATATAGCTTACTCCACCAATCCCTAGTCAACCATATATAGCTTATTCCAACAATCCCTTAACAACCATATATAGCTTATTCCAACAATCTCTAAACAACCATATATAGCTTATTCCAACAATCTCTAAACAACCATATGTAGCTTACTCCAACAATCCCTAAACAACCATATATAGCTTACTCCAACAATCCCTAGTCAACCATATATAGCTTACTCCAACAATCCCTAGTCAACCATATGCTCTAACAATCCCGATCAACCGTATACTCCAACAATCCCAATCAACCTTATATATATAGCCATCTCCAACAACTGAAGACAAACAGCCATGTATGTGTTATATGTTTTTGCTTTTTCTCTAACAGTTAATTTTAAAATACAAATATACCAGGAAATTGTCACTGTCGTTAATGAGGGCAAATTTATTGTTAATGCTAACATTAATAAACAACATAGTTATTATATGTGAAGGGCAAAATAACACAAGGCAGTTATGGATATTGGCAGAGTACGGTGCAAAATTGATTGGTGGTGAGTGACCTGGTATACATCAGCATTTTTCTGTTCCTTAGTTTTGCATTTTTCATTTGAGTNCCCCCCGAAATATCGTTGTTTTATATTTTGACATTACTAATTTTGTAACTAGGTCCAAAAAACCAGAGTTTGAAAGTCAAACTCATTGAACAACCTAGCCCTGGAAATAAAATGACAAGAGCTGGGGCCAGTTAAGGCGTCTGACATTTTGCTACTACTAGCCCTCCACCACTGGGTTGCGGATTTGAGACATACGTGGGACAGTTGCCAGGTACTGGCAGTAGGTCGATGGTTTTTCTCTGGGAACTCCGGCTTTCCTCCACCACCAAAACCTGGCCATCCTTAAATGACCATAGCTGTTTATAGGACGTAAAACACAAACAAAAAAATAAGTGATAAGATAAAGAGAGGCCTCCCTTTACATTTACTGAAATGTTCTGTCGGGTAAAACAATTTGTTGGTAAAGTCATTTTCTTTACAACAGAGAAACAAGCATTTCGGATATCAGAATGTAGGATATTACACCATGTTCTGACACTCGGGATCAGATCCGTAGATCAATTTTCACTGCACGTAGCAGGTGAATTTTTAACTTTGTGAGCCGAGTGATATTATAATGGTTTATAAATTTAGTGAAAAATGAGCATGGTCAGGAAATTGCTTAAATGCCATGAACTTGTCATGTTTCTTTGCCGTCAATGAAATATTTTATCCAAACTTGGAACTTGGTTTAGTCAATCAGTTGGTGAAAAGGGGCCCTGTTGAAATGTTTGAGGTTACTACAGGGAATGAGTTTCCAAGTTGACACTGGCACATTTTGGTAGAAATAGGAATTGAGTCATTGTTGCATGAATCAGAAAAAAAATGTAAGCATGTTCATGAAAGATCAAAAGATTTAACTTTTCTTAAAAAGACAACCGGTGTCATCTCTGCCAACATAACGCATAGAAAATAGTGTGTAACATACCCCTGGGCAGGAGATTCATCTTAAGCGAATATGTTATCTGCTAGATTTTAAATACCTTTGAAGTTACTTTTTCCTTTCTAAAATTCCGTTTTTGTTTCAACATGGATACAAGCTATTTTTCATTTCACAAAGATTTTATTTAATATTGCATCTTGCAAAAATTCAAAAGGAATTGGGCAACATGCGTAATGCCTATATAAGCCCTCTCCTGGTATGGACAATGTACTTTAAAATATATTAATTGTAAAATAATTTAAAAGCTTTTTACATCGAGGACGTAAGATATGATAATGTATTTTAACTTAATACAGATAGTATTTTTTTTAAATTAAGAAGTTTGAAAGAAAAGTTGTGTGGAGACAGACCACTTTTGTCAATAAAATTGGTGGTTTTGTGATAGTTAGCTCTTTTGTCTCCTTTGTCATTGAAAAGGTTATACTTTATGAAATAAGGTTAGGTTGTAAAGTTTGTGGATTGTGAAGCAAGGGTGACCGAGGGATCAGTACATTGGGGTTTGGCATTGTTGATGTTATCTTCAGCACCAATAATTTGCCTGCAACAAATCCATTTTTAAGAAATGCTTTGACTTTCTAAAAATTCCCACTTAGGTTTGACTCAAAACTGAAAATCAACATGAACACCAGTAGCCATCTTGAATCTCATGAAAAGTCACAATGTTTTTGTGCATAACTGATGAAGGAATGCTTTGATTTTCATATTAAACTTTCTACACTTGCCTATTGTAAATTACCTGGTTTATGATCAAACTGCTACATGTGACTGATGGGGATGGTAGGAGGGGTGCACGTGCCATTGCATGGAGTTGGTGCAGCTCTGCCTGCAAGAATAACTAGTTATGAAGGTGGCTGAGCAAACACCTCTCTACCCTCTATATTTTGCTGCTTGCCAAAGATGCTGATATCTATATCTTGATATCAACAATATGGTCCCTGGTTGTGGACCTTCAGCTGGAGCTGCCATTAGGGAGCTCGCAGACGTGGACTACGGATCCACATGCAACTGATACCAGTCATCATGGCCTGCAGTACTATACCTGGAGAGAGATCTCTGAAACCGGGATGAATATTCCTAAAGTTGTCTTAGCTGACGCTGATAATTACAGTCAAGGGATTTTAAAATGCCCACTTTGCTTTCTTTTTATAACCATGGTCATTGCTGCAGTATTAAAAAAGCCAAGAATCACTGTTGGGAACCTCTTTATTTCTGCTAATGAAACAGAATCTCGGATGGACAAGAAACAGATTGAGGAGAGGCTAGCCCTTATATCCAATGATAAGTGAGAGGAAACCAAGCTTGCGGCCAGAAGGAACAGTAGAGAGCAAGGGTTCCTTCATGGAACCAACCATCCTAGCTGAAGTTCAGGACAATGAGAAGATTGCCAAGGAGGAAGTTTCAGGCCATAGAGACAATGAAGTTTCAGACAATGGAAAGGTTGACTAAGATGTTACGTGACACAATATATGGTCTGGGTACAGTTGTCCGCACCTAAGACTTAGGCCAATAGTCTTTTTACAAGACTCTTTGTTGGAGAATTATTTTGATATTTTGATGCGACTCGGTTGTTTGGCTAGTTCAACTCTGCCATTGGCAGAGCAGCATTTGAAGCAGCAGGGTAATCAGGGAGGGAGACAACATCTGCCGAAGAGACTTTGATGGGCCCAGGTCAATCAGCTGTCCGTTGGTAGTGAGGAGACCTGTCCACAGGTCCAGAATTGGGATCAGAGACGTGCTGCTAAAGTTGAGCGTCTGCCACATGGGCATTCTTTTTGTACATGGATCTTGGAAGTTGCATGCCCTTGTATGGGCGAGGTGAGAGGCTGCTGCAGGTTGGTTCTAAGCCTGAAGTGCTTCTGATTTTCTTTAAATCAGGGAGAGGGTTGGAAACTTATAATGACCATGTTTACTTGTCAGAGCTTTGGATTCAAATCAATTTATCCAAAAGGTGAAGTGCGGCCATGTGAACCAGCACTCGTTGTGGCCAAGCCACTATATGGACATGTTTTAGGTGCTGTTGGGTCAGATCGTAGTTTACACTTGCTGTTGTGGTCATATGTCATAGTTATTATACATGAAACTTATCACATTCTCACAAGACAATTATCATTTAAACATGAAACTGTAAATTGTATGCATCTTATACAGAATGTATGCCTATTGTAAACAAATGTATTGTAGAAGATGTTCACTGATTTTGTGTTACCTGGATGTTCTAGGTTTGGTGAAGATTGCAGAGAGTCTGGGGATCAGTCTGTTGGCGCCAAGGAAGAAGATCACAGTACTGATGATAGGAAACCACTCTGCAGGCAAAAGTTCCTTCATTAATTGGTAAGTCGTCATATTTTTTGATGTTTTTCTTGATTTTCTGCTTGAATTTTGTATTTGTTTTGTATTGGAAGATTTTCCTATACCTCTTATTGTTTACTGCTGAATTATGCCTGCATGCCTTAATATCCCAAGTTTTTGGATGTCTTGTATTACAGTCAGTATTTTTTTAACTTTACAAAAATCAATATAAAGACATTTTATTACTGGGTCTAGTGCTATTCACAAGAGCAACCTTCCAAAGATTAATGACAGTTTATCAGGTATAATCAAATTTCAAACTTTTAACCCCATTTTAATGTTTAAAGGCAAAATGTGCAAAAAATATATATGTAAAAAAAGAAGACGTAAATAGCATCATCACCTGTTTGATAAAGCAAAGATGTCTTCATTGCAAGAACTGAATGTTTAATTGGTGCTTTTAATGATGTATTTTTGCCCACAAGGCAGTGAAAAATGTCTAAATTTGGGGATTGTTCACAAATTTAATTTTACCATATACTGTATTAGTGTTGATTAGTGCATGTTAAAATATATCAAGTCCAACCCAATTAAAACACTTAATTCAGCTCTGTACCTCTTTGATTTTCCTTTCAAGGGGGAAGCCCAATCTGAGCTTACCATGGCTACCATTCATTTGCATTCTTATTTCCAGAAATGACTTGTCAGCTGTTTAAAAATGACAGTTTGCTTATGTCTGGTAAAATTAGGAAGGAAATGAGTTAGCTGATCTTTATTTCTACAAAATCTATTCAAACCTGCATGGTCGTTGGCTCAATCATAAACACATTAATTTCATTTCAAATGATCCTAACTTTTGTTGACCTTCATTAGAATTTGATGGTTTGCAATCAAGAGTGGGAATTAAAAACCAGAAGCTTCCCTACCCAAACAAAATTTAAACAATCTGATTTAAAGTACAAATTAATTTTCCTCCTATTTCATAGCCACTTTTTTATGTGTAATGTAACACATTCCCGTTGAATCTGTTAAAATGTTGATGCATTAATACAGTCTCCTTCGGCAAACCTATTTCAAACCAAAATAGTAGGATTACGAGTTAAGGTATCTCCAAATGAGACTAGAACCTCTGCTGAAGACCACATATTTAATTACCATTAGCTCTTAATCTGCTCTTCTGAAAATTTGTGTCCTCTGAAGAAAGGTGAAATGAAAATTTCAAATATTGCAGCTATATTTTTTTGGTGTCGTTTATTTGATTCTCTCCATCTGTTTTTATGCAAGTCTGGTTAAATGTAAGTTGAGGGTTCTGTATCTCCAAAATCAATAATTTTGTCTGCAAATAACAGCAGAGCGCTCCATACAACGTGTAAGGAGTGCGGCACTCGATTCTACCTCACAATGTAATAGAGTGATCTGCCAACTCGGCAATTTTGGCACACCATGTCGAGCTGTGTGGAGGTTGTCACTGTGGGAATACGCCACAAACGAGACGCGTCCAAGGCATCCCAAAGATAATTACATGTATACGGTTTCTACTGGTGGCACTCATATTCCTGTAAGTATTTCATAAAAATACGAGATGCATTGTACATATTTGCATTTCCTCTTGGATGCTTTTAATTAAGTTTTGCTGATTGTTGTGCTTTTTTGTTTGAAATTTCATTGCATGTTGGTTTTCATGTATTTATTATAAATGCTGTATGATGCCTAGCCATCCAAAACATATAAATGTTTACATTGGCCAAATCCGGGACGTGTTTATCCTTCACTCATCAGGATATTATAGGAAGTCTGCTAAGCTATAATATATTTCACAACAATTTTTTTAGTGTGAAACAGCTTACATTAATGAAAATGGTTTAAATAAATGGCTGAATTAAAGTTCATATGTACAAATTCATATGAAATGTATAGCTAACGATTACTTAATCAAAAAATAAAGTAGATAGAAAATAACTATTTCAACATTTTTGCCTGCGGTATTTTCTTGCGTTTAACCCTTTCACCACTGTAGACCATAATGTACTCATCCAGATCAATGTATGGTAGAGTCTACTAAAGTTACATAGGGGTGAAAGGCTTAAACAACAGTTTAAAAGAAAAAACTATTAAAAACTATAATATTTTTATATCACTTTGATATTAATATTCAATTTTTCCCCTGAAATCATTTTTATTTTGCATCAGAATTTTTCTTTCTTTGTAACATGAATGATAAGTTGAGAGAAAACTTGATAACCAGGTGATTTGCAATGTGAAGTCCCTGTATCTAAACAAGAATAGTAGTCTGATTATCTCCCTTGGCTAGACATATTTGTCAGCAATTCTGTTTTGTGCTCAGTAAAAAGTCACCGAGTGGTAAAAATCATTAAGGGCAGACTAATGTGTGACAGGAGGAAACCATATGGATGGAGAATTCGTCCCTAGAATACAAAGTAGCAGCGACTCCAAGGTCATATGTTCTAAAGCTTTAGTGATTGGCTATCATGTAATGCCTGTGTGCTTCGATTCGTAGTTCAAGGTCATTTCTTTACAGTAATAGAAATTACAATTTGGAAAAAATGAGTTTTTTTAAAGGAAACACATGGTCATATCTCAATGATTGATGAAATAATGTTATAAAGTTTAATACAATCTTTCAAAATTTTAATCAGAGAAGCAATTTCATCAAGGTATATCATTTATAATACAAAATTTTGGTTGTTAAATTACTTTTTATACTTCCAATGAGAATAGACATTGAATAGCAATGAAGAATGTTGCACATTGTTCATGAAAATGTACAATAAATGAACAAATACTGGCATGTTGTTTGAATTTTATTTTGTTAACATCTTTTTTGCTACAACTTTGTATAGGTCATATGACAATGGGCCATGAAAAATGGGCCACTTAAGTATGTGTGCCGTTATATTGAAAAGCAAAATTTGGACATGGAAAATATAAAGCTGCTGCTTTGTCAGACCATAAAGATGTCATAAACATTATGAAAGTGGGTTATGTTAGATAATGTGAAATATCATTATTTCATCAAACTAATTCCTGTGATATTCACAACAATCATTTTTGCTGTCCTAATGACAATATGTGGTCAGATTTGAACTGTAAGAACCATAAGAATAGCATGATGTTTGGGGCTTGATACAACTACTCAGGTCTGACACCAGGTAGCTAGCATTTACTTGGATTGGCCTTATCAATAAACACCTACAGGTAAGTGATGGATCCATTGCTCGACAGTGAACCAGGTGCAGTATTACATCAGCGATTTTTTTTTCCAAGTATGACAACAGGACCTCGGGGTATAAGCTCCAGATTTTAAACCTTAACGCAGAAAAATATCCCTTTGAAAATGTTCTCTTGCTCCATGAAAAGTGATATGAGGTGGAGGTCACCAATTAACGGAAGTGACATTACTAGTATAGGATATTAGCAAATACTGTATAATCAAAACAAAGGGTGTCTCAATTGTGATACAGGATAGAAAATGAAAAAAATAGGTGATAATTAAAGCGTAATATACTGTAATACCACAGAATTTGAAAAAGAAAAAAGAAATTTGAAAATGACGTGGACTTTAAGAGTAAAATTTCATTCCGATATATTTACTGTATTTGTAAAACTAATGAAAAAGGCTGTTAAGAAAGTTAGGATTTAGATAAATATCTATGTATAAAACAATGTCTAATTGTAAAAACATAGACTGTCATAACAGGGGCTTAAATTTTCAATGTTTTTGATTATTATAGTCCTTATGCAAAGAGAAGATTGAAGTGTCGATATATAGACCGGTTATACGGAGACAGCTTGAATGAAATTCCATTCATTCCTTTCTTACCTATCTACGTGTACCTGGGTTTATCGGCCAGACTATGAATAGCTGTTCTATACCACATCACCTTAGCCTAACTTATAGAGTACTTAGTGACGTGCTTTTCTGTGATGTGGGTGGAGTCCTGTTTTCTTTAGTCTATTTAGATAGGTTTGAATGTGTATTGCTCCAGCTTGACTGCTGTTGTTGGGGGAATGTTTTACTTGTTCGTGACATGATATATAAAGATAACTTTGGGGTGTAGTAATAATACTTAACTGACAGTGTAATGGGTTGATTTCAGTTTTCAGTAAAATTTAATTGAGAAAATGTGGTGATGCAATAAAGGATTTGTTCCAAAACCATTCGTACATATTAGTTCACAGGTAGCCAAATGACCTGATGTATATACTTGGGAGAGCAGGGGCATTATAGTGGAATCTGTTAGTCTCACTCTCTGTCTGTCTGTAGACCTAATTCTGTTTGCAATACTCCTTCTATACTTGAATGGAACATGGAACACTTGCATTGAGGATATGTAAAATTGGAAATACCGCCCCAATATGGAGTTATTCCCCTTTGTTTGAAAAAAATTACATAATTTATTATACTTGTATGTACAGCACCAATATTAATGACTCATGGTACATGTACTACTTACATTGAGTGGGTGTGAACATTAGTATATAACATGAGTTACTTCCTCTTTATGGAGTTGTGCCCCTTTGTTTATCACTACACATACTGCTCATACATATGTATACAATGATACTTAGCACACATAACACATTACCTAAAGGGAATGTAAAGAAAGCATATAGACTTGAATTTCCCACCCTGTTTGTGGAGTTAAGCCAACTTCACAAAAGAATTATTTCTACAGTTCATGGTGGAGACGGGGGTAATAATCTGCCATTTTGTCTACTGTTCTTGGAGGCAGAAACTTGCATGCTCATGTAAACTTGAAAATGGACAAGTTAATACAGAACGCAGGTATAAAACTCTTAAAATCCCAAAAGAGAATGATTCCAGGGGGAAGTAAAGTGTGCAGCATATTTTTGTTGCATTAAGATTAATTATCATAAAAAAATTGTGGTGGTATATATGCAAATGGATTTTGGTTCATGGATTTAATAAAACAACATGAATATTATCAGAATTATTGAAAAGGGATATATGACCCTGATTGTGAAAAATGTGGATAAAGCGAAAAACATTGTGCCACATT